AGACAGCAGCTTTGGGCTGGGACAGATGGGTTCTCAAGCATTGCTGTTCTGTGAACCACCTTTAAATCAGCTGGCAGATTTTCAGAGCTTTGCTTCAAAGGGAGCCCAGGAAAACATTTCTTTGCCACAAAGGATCTTCTCCATACAGGAAATAAACTGTATAAATCTGTCTCTGCTGCAGGAGTGATCTGTGTGCCCTTGGGCACTTGTAGGACCCTGAGCCTCCACCTTTAGCATGAGTATCTGCTCATGCAGCTGGTTCTCTGAGCCAGTTTGATGGTAAAAGCCAGTTTCTGCAGCTGTCCCAGTGCCTGGCACTGTTAAACCTGCACAGAATCTCCAGCCAGCAACCTTCCTGTTTTACCAAGACTATCAAAAACTTCACAAGAAATTTCTGGGTGTGGTTCTGGAGCAGATGGTTCTGCCTAGAGGAATCCATTGTGCCCAGCCCCAAAGCAGGAAACCATAGCAGTTTGTTCCTGTGAGAATTGCTGCCTTTTCTGACCCATTATCTCTTTTATATTTGTACTAACATGTGCAGGAGGAAACAGAAAATTTATTGGTCAGAAAAAGTTAAAGAATTGTGCCAGAACAGGTTACCATAGAGAGCACCAGGAAGATTCAGGTCAACAAACACCTCTCAAATAATAAATTACTCTTGTTAATACATGAAAATACTTGAAAGAAGGCTTGGTAGCCAGTCACGTCCAGGTTCAGCTTGCAAGCCAGAACACAGCAACATCCTGCCCAGAGATTCCCTGGATGCACAATGGCTGGTCAGATGTGTGTTCCCTCAAGCACCACGGCCAGCAGAGCCCTGAGGTACAGCCCTGTCACATTCTCATTGCTCCTTCCAGTACTGCCCTCGCTTTTACCCAGCCCCACTTCTGGAAGGTGGAGAATTCAAACTCTCCTCACAGCTTGCACTGTGCCGAGGCAAACCCTGGGGCTGGGCTTGGCCTAGTCTCCTCTTTATTCCCAGTGGAATTCAGGGAAGAACAAGGGCTGAGAAAGTCAAGCAAGGGGGATTTTCAGAATCCTGTAGGTTCCTTCCAGTCCAACCAGGTGTCATGATTTTTTTTAATAGAATAGGATTCTATGATGCTGTGATTATTTTTGTTTGCTTAGATATTGAAGCCAATTCAAAGGGCCTCTTATTCACTGACAGCTTTTGGTTTCTGTCTCTTAGTAAGAGCTGTCCTCTCTGCCTGGTGTGAGCCTCTGCCCTGGGAAGGTCTCTTGAGAACAGAAGGAGCAGCAGCAAAGGTACAAGCAGCTTTAGGCAGACCTGGAAATGTTTCTACGCTGCCCTGGCTCTTTGGGCATGGGAGACAGGAACCAAATGAATTTTGTGGATGCAAAAGCAAGGATAAAACAGTTGAATTTCGCTTCCATCACAAAACCCCTTTAAGTCAGCTCTCTCTAGGTGCAGACATGAGCTATGAAAAGGCCCTTGCCTGTGTCAGCCTGAGCAAACTGAGAAGATAAATTGGTGCTTCGGGCCCCAAGAGGTGCCAGTAGGAGCCATTGCACCCCTCTGCCCCAGTGAATGTTGTCAAGATAAAACTCCCTTAAAAGAAGATTTTTGCAGTACAGCAGCAGGACGAGGAGTGATTATTTGAAGGCAGGAGGAGACCAGCCACCATTTTTAGATTCCAAATAACTTTGTTCTGAGAGGAACAGGGAGGATCAGATTTTGCTGGTGCAAGTTGCTTGGAGCACGCTGAGATACATGTCCCTTTAACCAGTAATGATTTCTTTACCAGCAGTTCAGGGGCTCTTGGGTCTATTTTTGCAAAAGGTTTGGAAAGGTACACTTGGCCCTCAAGTCCAGAAGGAGGCAGGAGCTCGTGTCTGTGCAGGAGCAGGAGCAGGGTTCCTGCTGCCAGGAAATGGGGAGCAGCCACACTTGGCCCTTGGTGGGACGGACCCCCCACCCTGCACACCCATCTGCAAGGAGGACAGACACACCACGTTTGGGGTTTTTTGTACACAAGTGCTGCTGCTCACATTGTGTGTTTCTGCTGCAATCAGCAGTTCCGTGGCCCTGTTCTGATGCACAGGCAGGACCCTGTGTCCATGCTCTTGCATAAATTACCATCTTATTTCAGCAGCTTTCTTTAGGAGCCTGCAGCCTCAGCTTGCTCCAAACTCCACAGTTTCCCCTTGTCAGTTCATGTCCCCACAGCTGGTATCTGGGCTCCACAAAGCACAAGCCATCCTGATTTGGAGGTGTGAAATCTTGGCTTGCAGTTGATTTTAAAAGGGAGCTCCTTATTCTTCTGTGTGTGGGCACAGTAAGTGAGGAGCAGTTGGGGATGAAAGCAGCTGGAAGCGTGTGGTGAGGCTGAGACAGGCACAAGATGCTCCAGCACCTGCAGGTTTTGTGTGGTAGGGTGGCAGGAAAGGGAGGGAAAGCTCCTCCTGTCTGAATTGAGAGCAGCTTTAAGAAAGCAGAAGACAAATTACTCCTCATTAAAGTCTGTGTGATTTATGGCATGTCATTTGCATGCCAAAACTTACCAAAACAAAGCTAATTAGGGAGCTGAAAGAGCCTTTCCTGCAGAAACAAGGCTTTCTGCTCCAACTGTTAAATAGCTGCAGTCAGACTGGACACTTTATTAGTGCATTAAGAACCTTTCCTGACACCCGTGTCCCGGTGCCATCCACGCCAGTGTCTGGTACAAAGGATCCACCCCAGCCCTGGTGTGTGACAGGCAGCTCTGGGAGAGAGGCATGGAGAGTGGAGAGTGTTCCCAGGCACACACTGCTGCCTTGTGCACCACCAGCCTTGGAGCTCTCTGGGAATGTGCCTCTCCAGAGGCAGCTTGTTGAAAACCCATGTACCAGTCTGACAGGTATGGCTGTGTATATCAACAAGTACCTGGTCAGGAAGAAGCCTGGTGGTGTATTTATGTTCATCTCCCAGTCCATGGTGTATTTATGTTCATCTCCCAGTCCATGGTTTCTCTGGGGCCATTCCATGGGATCCCTTTACTTCAAACACAGCCTGACCTCTCCCCGTTCAGTCACTGCAATAAGGTGTCTGACCAGGAGGAGGGTAATTTATCCAAGGTAATCCCATCATAGAACTGCTGACAAGGCAGCAAGGCCACATGTAAACCAGACAGGATTTTTTACTAAATCACTAAAACCCGAAACCTTTTCACAATGCAAGAAGTTTTAAATAAGTTTATTAAGTTATAACACTTTCCAGGTAACGTGTGTCCTGTCCTGCAGAAGAAGCAGCCCCGGTTTGCATTTACTGACCTGTGACACCAGGCAAGCCTTGGGGGCTCTCCCAAGCTGGCCTGCCAAGAACTGCAGGCTGTAATGATAAATAGAAATCTAACATGGATAGAGATGATAAGAGGCTATTCAGTCCCACAGAAACATGAGCAAAGGCAAAATGAAAAAATACACCTGCCATATCACTGAATATGTAGAAAACCATCAGCACAGCATCCTCCTGGCTTTATAGGGCACCAAGAGTAGCTCCCAGGGCAGGGAATTCTATAGAAAACATAATTCAGTTTGCCAGTTTTCTTTTGTGCTCCCAGTCTATGAATTTATTAATCAATTGACAACTCCTCCTGATACTCTCCAGTTGGTTTTGTACTTGCCAAAGTAAGCCTAAAACATCCATCCAATTATATCCTTACTCATCTGGAATTGCCAGGGAGGGAAACTAAAACTGCGGAGTTTAGTTAATCAGAACTACTCACTGCTTTAGGTCAGCCCTTCCCTGCCTTCCCAGCACTCTCTTGGGACACACAGCTATTGGGATTTCAGGCCTCTGCAAAGTCAAAGAGCTCTGTCCTAAAATCCATGTCCAAAGCACCCCACGAGCCCTTGCCAGACAGATCAGCCCAGTGTCTCTGATGGCTCTGCCCAGGTATAGGACTGATTTAGTACTGGTGTCAGGGAGTTTACTCCAAAAATCACACATCTGCCCCATTTTCAAACATTAAACGGCAAGAACTCAGTCTCAAACCTTCTCTTCTATTCACACAGATTCAGGGAACCTTTGGCGTATCTCTGCAAGCAGTGTTTGTCCTTCCTCCAGAGGCACAGGGGAGCTTCTGCAGTTGCAGGTGTCAGGAGGCCATCCTTGACTGTAGGGACTGCTTTAATCCTCAGGAATGACATTCCAGGCCTTCAGAGCCCCTGGCCTCAGAAGCTTGGAGTCAAACATCTGTCATACACAGAAAGCTGCACTGTGTGGGGTGCTGCAAAAAGATTCAGAGAAGTATTACTGTCTCCAAACTTGTCCTTTCTGCAGCCTTTCTGTTCAGAAACCAAAGTTACAGGGTGTTTTTTGCTGTGTGGCTTGGAGTTTAGCTCGTGGATACAGAGAACTTAATCACATTTAGAGATGTTCTTTTTTTGTAAAGCAGAGTGTGACTCACACACTTTCCCACTCAAATAATTTCAGCTCCAGTGCAAAACCCATTATTGGAAGGCACATGTTTCCCTGGTTAAATATTGAGCACATTTTGACCTCTTCATAGTAAACCAAAAGCTACTTTTTAATACCCTGAACTTCCCTGTAACCTGAGCTGTTGCAACACAAAAACTGATCTCACCTGACTTGAACTGAACTTGGATATCCAGTTGAGTCATCTCAGTAACCCAGGGCTGACTTGGAAACAGCATTTCACCTCTAGATGTGAGATGGCACAGATGGAGAGCTACAGGGATGTGCTCATTTTTTCCAACACATCCTGAATGGAACTTTGAGACCTTACATTGGGCACCTGTTTGGGGCTTGATGAGACTCTTTCTGCATCCTTCGTATGCACCTGTAAGGCAACAAGGGAGAGTTACCTCGCTGCAAGCTCACATTTGTATTGTAGCTGACTTCCTTGCATTGACAGATCTTAATGTTTAACCCTGAATTCCTGCTAAGGCCAAGGTACAAATGTGCACTTGATCTCAGGTGTACCTCTAGTCCTGTATGCAGCAGCTCTCATTCCAGGTAACTCCAGGGTTAAACCTTATTTATTGTGTGTGTTTTTCTTTCAGACTGTTTGTCTTACACAGCGCTGGAAGTGTTATCAAAAAGGTGCTATGGGAAGCAGAGATGCAAAGTCATTGTCACCAGCCGGGATTTTGGGAGCCCGTGCCTGCCTGGAGTGACAAAATCCCTGAATGTCAGCTATGCCTGTGGTAAGAGCAAATGCACAATTGTTTCCAGGGCCTCAATTCCTGCTTGCAGAGACACACACATGTCCACATGTGGGCACTGAGTCTTCCAAATGCCCATTGCCCTTAAACACAGGAGGTTTGGGACACAGCCATACAAAATATGTGTACAAGCCCCTGGGCACAGCAGCACCTCACAAAGACTCTGGCATTAAGGGGTTTTTGCTATAAAAATGCAACCGACCATAAAATATCAACTGGGTAGTTCAATATTTTTGAGAAATACTATCAAGATAAGAGTTTGTTCCACAGAGCTCACCTACAACAGAGCTAGAAAAAACAAATCGGCATTGCCTGGCCTCAGTGCAGGTAAAACCGCGCAGCATAATTGAGGCACTGTGTACAAGCCAGTCCTGAAACCTGACTCATCTGAGCACAGCCTCTCCCTCACAGAGGGGCTTCCTTGCTCATGGAGAGGGAAGTGAGGGTTTATGAAAAGTAAAGGGTTGAGGCTGTACATCGCTTGCAGGACTGAAAAGTGCTTCAGCTCATTCCTCAAACAAGAGGGAAGTTTTCCATATGGTTAGCTATAGATTAACATAATTCCCTAAAACACTCCAATAGGAGCAGCTCCACAGGTACGTCCTGCAGAGTCCTGTGGCTGCATCCCCAGTGAGCAGTGCTCAAAGGGCACAGGTTACCTGAGACATGCTTTAAGAACAACACTGAGATTGATGGCCAAATCACCTCTGCCTGAAGATCAGAGCAAAATGAGCCCCAGGAGATTTTCAGTGTGCCCAGGAATTGGTTTGTCAGCTGTGAAAGGTGGTGCAGTAATTCACCTTCCTATGACTGGAGAGATCTGGGAATCTGCCATTGCACCAATACATTATATTATTGTGCAGCTGCCCTTATGAATGAGCTAATGGAATTCTGTTTAATTAGCATGAGCATAATCACAAGAAGTCATTCCTCTTTGCATGTCTGTGTAACAGACCAGCAGAGTGAGTTTGTTTGTGAGTTTGTTGGCACTGGAATTATGCATTCTGTTATTTAGGGATGTGGCTTTGCAGAAACACGTGGGTAACAAATAGTGTTCTTTTGTGCTGCTGGCACATTTGGAAGAGTTTTCCTTCTGCCAAATCTTACTGGGCTGTGCAGCGTGAAGCATTAGCCAATGATCTGCAGATCCGATTATTTTACAGATCATCTATTGAACACAGGAAGAATATTCCAGAATGGCAGTTTCCATTCATTCTCCTCACTAGAGGATGCCTGCTAATCTGATGCTTCCCAAGATAATGCAAATAGATCTGCCCCTGTAGTGACAGGAACTCAGCAGAGCAGAGCAGTTTTGTTCTCAGGGCTGTACCACACTTCAGAGTATTCCTATCACGGTCAGGAGTGTGAAAAAACCCCACACTGCCCACCCAGTGTCAGCAGCTGTTTAGGGGGAGCGTGTCTGGCTGCATTCTTACAGTGGCACTTCACTCCTGACAGTAAAACATGACAGCAGCTGGGAGGTGCTGCTTTATTCGAGTGTCAGTGCCCCCAGGGCTCTGCTCAGCATCATCTCCTCCTGTCTGTGCCAGGTGGGAGCTCCTGGCTCTGGCTGAGGCTGCATTCAGGATCAGGGAACCCTCTCTCAGGAAACAGCCCTGGGATGTGGATCAGGGAATCCTTCCTCAGGACACAAGGCTCCCTCAGCCCCTGGTGTGGATCAGGGAATGCTGTTGAGGATCAGGGAATGCTCTCTCAGGACACAAGGCTCCCTCAGCC